ACCCGACGTGCCTTGCGGCCGCTGCTGCTGCTGCAGGAACAGGGCGATCAGGTAGTCCTAGAGAGAGGGGACAAGGAGGGCTGTGAGGGCGGCTGCGGCCTGGGAGATGTTCAGGCTAGATTTAGTTTCCAAACCAGTTCTCCCTCATCCTTCGATCTCTCCAGCTCCTCCTCCTCCACAGCCCAGCTCACAGCTAAGTATGTCATCTGCGGAGGCAGAGAACACACACCAAGTGCGGAGATGGTCCAAAGGTAACAGGGCAGAGGGACATGGGTGTCACGTGTTAAGAGCTCCAGATGACAAAATGCATGCAACTCGCCTATGGCAAAAAGCTCTGACACAAACGTGTTCCCGGCACCCTTCCCAAAGGCCCCACACACCTGGTCTACCTGCCGCTGCTTTTCCGGGGAGTCACTCCCGCCTTCTGCTCCAGGCCCCTTGCCCAGGGAATGACTCAGGTGAAACTCGGAGTCACAAAAGCAGCTGTCTCCATCCACGTTGTGCAGGCTCTCCCACACCACTTGCTCCTCCTGTAGAAAGCCCTGGTCGGTGACCAGTAGGTACAAGTGACCCTGTGGGGAAGAAGACAAAGCGGGACAGGTGACGCAGAGGCGGCCTGCTGCCCCACTACATCTGAGATGCACCGAGACCATCCGCACTGACAGGTGCGCCAGCTGGAACGTCACTGGGAGCACGTGGGTCCTTCATAAGTCTGTGGCCGTGGGGAGAGGGAAGAGATGTCCGAGAGTACGGGCAGCTGGGTGTAAGGGTGGCGGTCACTGTGGTCGAGCATGGAGTCCTCGGGGCTGGGGTCCCACATGAGAGCCTGCTTCCTGCCTCACTTCCCATGGTGCCCTGGGCTCGCCCACGGGCTCTGAGAACTAAAGACCTTTCCCTCTTCTGCCCTATCCCTAGGGGGCTTAGACCGTCTCTAACTTCATGAGACTACAGTGTTGTTCAAAAATTCCACTGCCTCCTCCCGGGAGACGGTTATACCTTCCTGTCCCACTGATGGCGGGCATATTCCTTAGGGCTTGCTCTGGCCAGGGAGATGTTAGCAAAAATGACACGCGTCACTTCCAGGCAGAAGCACTAAATGCGGGTGCATGACGTCTCTCCTACATTTCAGAGAAAGGCTGTTTTGTCAGCCTGAGTCCCAGAGATGATGTGGGACAGAACGGCGGCCAATCTGCAAGGGACTCGTAGCATGGATGAGAACTAAACCTCGGCCTGGCGAACCGCAGGGCTGTTAGGAGTCGCTCGTTCCCCGAGCTTAGTCTGCCCCATCCTGACGGAAACACTGACCCGGAAGGAAAAGGCATGAGGAAACCCGCGGCCCTGCAGCCCCCCACGTCCTCGGCCTCCGCACCTTGTGCTTAGTCATAGTGCTGAAGTGGTTGTTTCGGAAGAAGACACTGAGCTCGCCCTCCTTGGCGGCCGCCGTTAGCTCGCACAGGCCGTGGTAGGTCAGCTGCGCCGCGGTGGTCTCCAGGAACTGCTCGGCGATCAGGCCTGCGCCGGGCACAAGATGGGGGGCGGGGAGGGGCCGGCTTAAATGCCAAGTCCACAGTAGGGAGGGTCATCCAGAGAGTCCCTGTCACGAGGCCCAGGGGTGAAGTCCCGTCCCTGAAACCTGGCCAGATTCATTCATTCCACCCACAGTGACCTTGTGCCGGGCACGGCATGAGGCCCTGGGGGACACAGCTCCCCAGACCGCCTTTCATGGAGCTGACATTCTAGTGGAATGTGGGGGCAGGGAGGAGACAGACAACAAACAATAAACCTAAGGAGCCGCCATTGCCTCTGCATAAGAGCCACAGAAGAGGAGGAGGCGTATCACCTTCTGTCACCAGGCTGGTGTCGCTGGAGTGCTTGCAGGTGATGATCTTCTCCACCAGCTGATTGTAACTCAGTTTCCCGACGGCACTCACAGCCTCGGGGCTCTGCACGGGCCGCAGGGTGGGGTGGTACCAAAAACATGGACATCTTTTTAGGAAGGAAATGAACCAAACCCACAAGAACTGCAACCCTCTGACGAAAGGTTCCTGAAACTCTTGATGTCTAAAGAACTGCCCGTGTTGTGCTTATGTTTGAATGTTCCCTGTGAAAGGGTTTAAGGTGAAGGAATGCTGCCCTGGGCCCTGCCCCGACACCCTATCTCCACCCCCAACCCAAGACAGCTTAATCCCTACCTCCCCAACCCACACCCCACAAAATCGCGCTTCTCTGCCAGCTTGGGCCGGATAAGAGGCTCGTTCGGGCCCTCTCCGCCTCACCTGTGGATCGACAAGCCAGCCGTGGTACAGAGGTACACCCAGTAGGTCGAAGACACTGCACTCAGGTGTGTACTCAAAATCCGAGACGCCTGTGAATCGCACGTTGACATCCAGACCTGTGGCCAGCTTAGGCAGCACTGTCATCGCATCGTCCACATTCTGGGATAGAAAAGAAAACGGTGGACACATCGAATCGACATGCCGTACATCTAACCTGACACAATGCTATAGGCCAATGACATCTCAAAAAAGCCGGAGGGAACAAAAGGAAAATGATGGAGAGTCTGGCCTACCCTCCCTCCACTCCACTCCCACCCCCGGAAGTGAAAAATTAATCTTCCTTTTCTTTTCTTCCCTGGTTCTCTAACAAGCCTCTCCATTCCTCCCTTGCCTCAACCCTTCTTTATCTTATACAAAGGAACATATTTTCGAGGACACAGCTATACCCTCCTCTTCTGCAGAAAAAAAATCATAGTTCAAGGAACTCCCTTAAAAATAGCAGAAAGGCTTCTCTTCCTAGCCTGGGTGTCCCCTTTCAAGCCCCTTTGTCCACAGACCTTTTGCTCACCTGTTGAAAATTAAGCTGCAAACCCTCTGACTTCTCCTGGGGCTTGATGGACAGGAGGCAGTCACCTACAAGACAGGATTCCTTACCAGCTTAACCTATCGATTGTCCCCAAAGCTGTTTCTCCTTCTCCTAGAGAATGGGGGTAATGTCACAGACCGTAGATTTTTCAGAGCAGGAAAGGACCTTAGCGTCTAATCCAGACCCTTTACTTCTCAGAGAAAGAAACAGGCTCCCAAAGGTGAAGTCCCTGCCCGAGGTCACACGTGAAGACTAAGGGCAGAACTAAGGTTCCAAGCCAGGACTCCTGACACCCCAACTTCTACTTTTTCCTTCCCTAGCCTTGCAAAGAAGCCCCAGAGACCTTCACCCTCCCTGACACATCGGAGACCCAGATAGAGAGTCCCTCAATATTCTGGATTTCTGGCTGAGTGGACAGCACTTGACCCTTCTGTGTGATTCCCCTTTCAAGGCCCAGTCACTTACCGAGATGTGCCATGAGCTCATCTGATGTGATCACTTCCTTCTGAGGTGGCAGCTTCACCTGGAGGCGGAAGGGGGTGAGCAAAGGGTCAGCCGCGTGTGTGCTTTTTTGCACGCAGCACTGCAGGAGAAACGCGCAGCAAGGCGGAGAGAGGGCAGGGGTTGTCCCGCGATAGGATATGACGGAAAAAAGGCAACTCGCCACAGGAGCGAGAGACCGAATGCAAAATACTCGAAGGCATTCGCGTTTGCTAGAGAGTGGAAGATCCAGGAGTAGGAGAGGTAACTTTGGCTTTTACGAATATTTTGTACCATTTGTTCAAGTTGAAGAAATAGGGAGAATAATCTGGAAAGTTTTGGTTGACCGGTTTCAGAAGAAAAGCAGGATGCTCGAGGAGGTGGGTCAGGAAAGAGCGGGCTCCCCCACCTCTAAGGGACTCGAGTTCATCCTGGCCCTGAGCTGGCAGCAACACTTGGTGTACTGGTTCCTGTTCTCCGGCCACCACATCGGCATCTCCGGCCGCCACGTCGGCATCTCCGGCCGCCCCGTCGGCGTCTCCGGCCGCCCCGTTGGCTGGCAGCGACACTTGGTCTGCCCCATTGGCATCTCCGGCCGCCCCGTCGGCATCTCCGGCCGCCCCATTGGCATCTCCGGCCGCCCCGTCGGCGTCTCCGGCATCCCTGTCCTGATCATGCTCATCTGGTTCTGACACGACCTCGTGGTTTTCGGGGCTGACTGCTTCTGCAGTCCTGGTCTCACCAGAGGGTGGACACTCAGGTTGATGGTGTTCCATGGTCGGGAGGGGTCGACTGAGGGACACCGAAGGACTTTACGGTCCTCGGGGAGTCAGTTGCCTTAATCTAGGCTCGGTATGCAAAAGAGAGACCGATCCAATGAGCAGGCAACCATCGGGCTGGAAAACAAACGGACCTAGAAAAGTCTTGGAAAAGGAATGCGGGGCGGAGGCTGGACGGTGTGTGCGGTCGCTCCTGGCGCTGGGTGTGCGTGTCTTTGTCAGCTTGGGTAAACAGAAGCGCAGCCCCGGGCCAGCTCTTCTTCACCTCAGCCTGCTGTGACCAGATGGGGCCTATGAGTGGACAGGGCTTTCAGGCTCGGGAGGGATGATTCTGAGGGGACTGAACACATTGGGTGTTGTCAGCCTCCCTGAAACAGATTAAGGACAGAAATGCAGAAGACAAAGGAAAAGAGAGAAAGAGAAGGAGAAAGAAATGTTAAAAATATACTAACGGTCATCAACAAGGCCTTCTTCAGCTCTCCCTGCGACAAAGGTGTCACATCCGTGACTTCCACCCCGGGACCAAGGCAACGTTGTGCCCTGCTCAAAACCCGGCCCCCTGGCTGTTCGTGGATCATGCTGCGCGCACACAGGCTGCTCCTGTCTGTGGGGTACTTTCTCTCTGCCTCGTCCCAAGGGCAAAAAAAAAAGAAGTCACATAGTGCTTGGGGTGAAGAGTAGAAAAGCAGAGAGTCAGTCAGTATCGTGCCCGGAAAGAGTAAACACTGGTCAGAAAGAAGTCCATCTCAGAGGACTCTGCTGAACTTGACACAATCTCAAACCACAACAAAAGGTCTTGGGAGGGGCTTCCTGTAGGCTGGAGAGGAGAAACGCAGGCCACAGGGTCAGCTAAATAACTTCAGATTAAGAGCACAGAAACCACTCCCCTCCACCAAGATTCTCCCAGGAAGCGTCTCTGGACAGCGGGAGTTGACACGCCATGGCCTCTGTGGTTCCTGTTTGCTCCCAAAACTGCCTAAAGCCACAGATATTCTCTGGCTCACTATTTATATGGAATATAAAAATGCCGATGATCAATTTACACTTAAAAAAAATATACTCCCTGTATATTCATCTGCCTCTGCATTTTTTCTGTCTGTCTATTCCCGTCGGGGTCATTTTAGATGTGAACACCGGACCTGTTTAACCTGCTCCCCACCGGCACTAAGCACTGAGTTCGGCAGGGACAGATGTTTAATTGGTTTAATTGACACTGTGGGTAGTAAACAATGAAAAGCCACAAACCCTGCCCCCTGGAAAACATCTCCCTTCAGCCTCCGTGCTCCCCCCTTCCCCTGACTCAGGGGAAGAAAAGGGGAGAAATTACACTTGTCAGAATTCTTGTCTTTCCTCCAGCTTCTCCCTAACCTGAGACTACGCTTCCTTCTTGTAATCCAGCAAGAATTTAGGGCAAGGGTGAGGCCTGGGAGATAAAGCTGAGGAACAGAAAAGTTACTGAAATACGCCTAGTCACCCAAATCGATAGATCGTTCTCCTGATTCGAACATAATCTATGCTAGCTGCCTCTCATTTGCATGTTGTTAATTTAGAATCAGAGTAGCAAAAACCGCCTGCAGGCCGTCTCGTCTCTCATTCCTTCCCTCCCCTCCCAAACAACACGCAGAGCGAGCCTCGGAAGCAGAACCCAGAACCTGGGAAAGTTTTAAAAGCTTGGAGAAAAGCAGGGTTCATTTCTTATCTTTTCTGTCCAATGCCAGGAATGATCAATAATTGAGTGGGGGCTGGGCAGCTAGCTGGCTAGAGGATGAGCCAGAAGAAACCAGCGGCTGGACGCCGGAGGGAGCTGGGTTTCAGAGAAATTGGGCAAAGCCAAGTGGGCTAAGTCTTAAGCGGGAGGGCAGGAAAGGTAATGGAGAGTTTCCACAGCAAGGTACACACCTGGTGGGGTGGGCATGGAGTATTTCAGAGCAGGAAAGGATGAGGGGAGGGTACTCAAACAAATCAGGATTCCAGCCTTCTCCTCTTCTTTTCTCAATTCAAGTCCTACACCTTCTCTCCGGCTGCAATTACTCCCTGGTGGTGGGGGAGGGAGTTAAAATAGCCCCGGCCCCACCCAGCCGTGGCGGTAAGTAGCCAAACGTTGGGAGAAGCCTATAAAATGGATAGGTGGCTTCAGTAAGATACCTGCCCCTCTGCCCAGGAACTTTCATCTCCCGCAAGTCGTTTACTGTCCCACTCCGACCTCCTTCTGAGTCTGACCCAGATTTTCATCCAACTTAATAGTTTAAATTTTCCCCTCCGAATAAGTCGACCACCACCAAGGTGCCCTGTCTGCTTGCTCACACGGGAGAGGGGGAAGGTTTAACTAAAAGAAGAAAATGAGGGGACCAAGCAGCATCCCTTTGACACATTCCCCCTGCCGAGCTCCTCCAGACTTGCAGAGACCAAAGGTGGGAGGACGGTCGGTGTGACCTCCCCAGAGCTGGAGAGAAAAAGAACTGGGGGTAGGAGAGGAGGTGAAGGAAACGGATAAAACAAAGTTTTTACCTTAAAGAAGTGGGTGCTGTTCCAGGACTGGGAGGGAGGGTTCGGCTCCAGCAATTCGATGGGGGGCGATGGGTGCAATGAGGGGCGCCGCCACAGTCCCAGCTGCCTTCCAGCTGTCAGCGCCAGAGCTTTTACGTACAGGTTTATGAGCGCCGTGCTGGCGGGGTCCTGGCCATTTCCGGACTCACGCCCAGCACTCAGGGCACTGGAGGAGGGGGAGGGCAGGCCGGGGCACAGCCCAGGTGCTCCCGCTGGGGCTGCTCAGAGCGTCTTCAGGATTCTCGAGTCGCCAAGTCTAGGGTGTGCGCTCAGGCCTGACTACAAGCTGGTTTTCAAAGGAAGTTTGTGGCATTTCTCCTCTCTCTTTCTCTCTCTCTCTCTCCCTCCCTCCCTCCTTCTCCCTCTCTCTCTTTCCCATAGGGACGAAGACAAATCAGTCAAGGACAGGCTCCCTGGAGGAGGGAGCACTGGAGGATTTCCATCAGGGCTTTCCGACCTGGTCAGCAGCGTGGTGATCAGCAGTGAGGGGGAGAGAAACAAGGAGAGAAAAACAACAGACCCTTTCTCTTCCCTCGGCCTGCGCTGGAAGGGACGGAGCGCTTGTGCCTCTCTGGTGAGAACAGGGAAGAGCAAGTGCCCTTGCTGCGTGGGGAGGAGCAGGGCTGGACAGCAGCAGCTTGCCGGACTTGGGCTCTCTCCGGCAAGGCAGTCCTTTGCTCTGGATCCACAGAAGCAGAGCCAAAGAGCAGGATATTTCCATGTTTACTCATTAAAAAAAAAAAAAATCTTGCTCCTTCCCGAGTTCTCACTTTATCATTTGTTAAGTCTAGAAATGAAACTGGTTGGGCTATGTCCCTCGTAGTGCAGAAGGAGGTGTGGTGGAAGAAGGTCCAGGCTCTGGGAAGAAGAGTGTGGTAGGGAGAGAACTCGCTGGGCAAGCAGGAGAGCCAATACCGCGGGGCTCGGGTCCTTGTCCCCACCGCAGGCTTCTCATCAGCCACCTCCTCTCAGCTCCTACCTTGGGGAGCAGGAAAAGCTGATATCAGGCGTGTGGTAGGACATAGAGGGATGGATTCATGAAGGAAGGAACATTTGATGATAAGAGTACATTTATTTTGCAGCACTCTGCACAACGTGGGTCTGGAAGGTGGCAGTTAAAAGCAGGTTGGAACCCAACTACATTCTGAAGGGCCCTCCAAACTCTGCTGACAGGGCTGCCGCAGGATGAAACTTCAAGCAACTCGGAAGGCTGAAAGGGCAGTCGGAACAAACAAGGAGGCAGGGAGCAAAGAACCCAGGTCACAGCGGAAAAGAATGAGGAGACATTTCCGAGGCTATATCAAAAACAGATCACAGAGTTGTAAAGAAAGAAGCAGCAGTTGGCAAGAGATTGTAGGTATTAAGAAAAGGGGCCAAAGATTAATGTTTTTGTAACGCGGACGATCACAAAGTTGGTGGCAATGGGTCAGTCTGGTAAAAGGGAGAATTCGAGAAAGGAGGACGAACTGTTTTGTCATGCGTAACTTTAGATGGCAAGCGGAGGCTCAGTGCAATGTATAGAAAGATGCTATACTTAGCCTGACTCAGGAGGGAAACTGCAGATGCCACAAAGACAGGCTACTGTGACACATATACGTTTGTGTGACAAATGAGTGACCTTAGAAAAACGGCCTTCCCTCAATTCTCGGGGCCATTTCGAAGCTTCCGGACTACGTTTCCCAGGGCGCCCTGCGCCACGCCCCGCTCCACGCCTCGGGAGGGGCGTCCCGTGAGCCTCTGGGCGCAGAACTCCGCCTCCGCCGCTGGGGGCGGGGCGACGTCGGGCTCTGGGAGCGCGGCTTACGCACTTCCTCCGGCGTCGGGGCCGAATCTCCTTGTGGCGGGTTCGAATCCCACCTCTTGACTCTCGCGGCAAGCCGGAGTCCGGAGCGGGGCGCGCTCGCCGGGTAACCTGCCCGCGGCGAGGGGCGGCGGCGCGCGTGGGGCTTCACCATGGAGGACTACCTGCAGGGTTGTCGAGCCGCTCTGCAGGTAACACAGCCCTGTCTGTGACCATAAGGAATGGAACAGGGGGGTCCACGAAGAATGAAGATGTGGGACATGGGGAGGGTCTGTGTGGGGGGAACACGGAATTGTAGGGTGGGGGCTTGGGGCCCGAGCAATGGGGAACGGGAACCTAGCTCTTACGGCCCCGTCTCCCCGTTTCTGCCCCCCGCTCTCGAGAGCGGGGAGGAGGAATCGTGGGTCTGGGTCCTGCATCTGAGCCTCCGCTCGCTGTCGCCTGGGTCAGCTCATAGGTCTAGGGCTGTGCGGCCGCCAGGGGTGCCCCGCGAGGTGTATTTGTTCCTTTCTCCCCGCCCCTCTCTCAGTTCTCCGCTCGCGAAGCCGCCTTGGCCTCCGGGGTGCACCCCGAGGGGTACGGGGGAACCTGTGCCCAGGGCTTTACTGCCTCCGAACGGCGGTTTCAGTCTGGCGGGCCCGACTTACCCTCGAATGGAGGCGGCCGTGGGGTTTTCATTTAAACCTCTTTCTAAGATAAGCATACAGAATAATACATCAGGCTTATCCGTTGACCCGCAACCTGCATTCTTTGGCCCACAGTTTTCTCCCTTGGCCTTGAGACCCAGAGATTACATAAACCCCCACCCCCCGCCTGGAAGAGAGGTACAAATGTGTTTGGAATCAAAACTATAAGCATGACTCTTGAATACTTTGTGGCTTATTTTGGGTACTCTCTGAGCCAACTGGAATCTTCTAGCCATGCCCACGGCTCATGCAGCATTAGGCTGCTAGCCCCAGTTAGCTGCAAAAACACTGGCCAAAGAGAGGCTCCAGGAGGTCACCTGGCCCCACTACGTCAAGTTACACTGACCCTATAGAAACCTAGACAGACGGTTGACACTGCCTTTTTAAGTATCTTAAACTCCGCAAATACCCCAGAGCGATAGAGTCTCATCTTTAGCAAATCCCAAAAGTCACCTGATTCTTCCCGCAGACTTGGTTGTTGGCATAAGCGAATGTCCTCACTTGAATAGGGGTGGAGTTCAGTTTAACACCAGTGAACACAATTACTTGTGAAATACAAATTTGGGGAAAGTTGTTTTAATGCATAAGGCGATTTGGAACCAATTCGTTTTGGTTACCTCCAGTTTACACCACAGGGAACTCGTCAGAAGACTAATGTAGAGGTTTTATGGCACCATTCCAAGTGCTAAGCAGTTAGATCCCCACCCTCTTCCCAACCCAAATGACTGGTCTCTTTCCCACCATGTGGTAAAGGGCTCTTGGACCTAAAACCGCACCTGTGGACACCTGTCCTACAGTCTCTACCCTCCAGAGGCCCACCCCCTAGGTAAACTGTACCTTCTACATCAGCACGAAGCTGAAAATACTGCTAGTATTCTGACCTTTTCTCTTCCTGCATTCGTCCCCCAAGGAACAAGATCTAGAGCTCAATTTTTCCAAACTTGTGAACTCGTGAAGGTGAGGTGGTATCTTAGAGCTCTCACCGTCTCTCAGCCTAGCCAGGGCTGGTGGAAATGAGAGAGTTAGACTCTAGGAATGTTAGTGAGTGATCTGGTGGCAGGCATACAGCTGGACAGCAATAGTTTAGATTGCTTTTTAATTACAGAAGTTGTCAGTGTAGATGGCGAAATTTTTTAAACACAAAAAGGATATGAAATGAAAAAGGAGATCCGTTTTCTTCTACCCATCTAATTCCCCAGAGGCCACACTTGTTTCTTGAGGAAGGCATGATTTAGAGACACTGTTAAGTTTGAGTGTTTCCGTTAAGCTGTAGTTTAACCGTTAAGATATTGTGAACGCTTGACTTTTAGACAGGATAGAAACGGCTGATAACTCAACCAACTCTCTTGTCAATACCATATTTTTAGCATTTGATACCAGAGGAATTTTCTACAGCCTCTGCCACAACGAGAGGAGGCTGTTCTGTGTAAAAGAAATCCTGTTTAACTAAATGTTCTGTTCATGGTGACTCATCCCTAGTGGGGAAAGTCCTTTCTTCGGGGTTGGGCTGCATTCAAGTTTAGGTGTTCATTCCGGAGCCTGCAATAATCTGTGTCGTCTGTACTTGGGCAGGTGGCAGGCGCTGGGAGTGGCTGGCTTTCCTTGGAGGTGCCAGTCCCGGCCGCACGGCGATCAGGCAGCCCCGTTCTCTCTGCCGGGAGGGCTTCTCTGTCTCTGGCTCCCTGTGTCCTGTTTTCCCTCCCTCAGAGCAGGCATCAGACCACAGTCAGCCTCAGAAGGGAAGTGATTAACTTTGCCAGCCCTGGAGCTCATCTCCTCTCTTCTCCCTGAGGCCTCAGAGAACATCAGGATACAGTCATTTCAAGTAGTGGGGTTTTTTTCCAAGAAAAAAAGTTTATATTTACTTGTGGCCCTCAGATCGTATTTCTTCCAGTGGCAGCTCGGGTTTCCTCGTGCTCTCGGTGTAGCTATATTTGCTCTGACTCTTCTCCGATGGTCAGAAAACCGGCCGTTTGGCTCGTGCTCTCAGGCGGTGGGGATGGGGTGAGGGTGAGGAGCTTGAGCTCGTTTTTCCTAAACGAGAATGTTGCCTTCTAAACTGAGCCGCCATGCACCCCGTTTGCCCAGGGAAGTCCAGTCTATTCTGACGTGATCACTGATCGTACCCTTTCTATTCTCAGAAGTCTCTTGGTTTGGACAACAAAGCATGTGGTTACCTGCCTCGTAAGCTGTGCTAAGTATTTGGGATGTACGCCCAGGAAAAGACAGAGCTTCTTAAGGAAGAAGCTGAGTTCCTTATGAGAGCCACAAGTGCTGGCAGCCGCGGGGTTTGAGGAAGGATCGCTGTGGCCCAGGTGGTCAGGGAAGGCTTCACAGAGGAGGTGGGCTTTGGATACGGCCTGACTGGACGGGGCGGGGCACAGAGAAGGTGGGGGGAGGTAGTGTTTACCACTAGAGTGGGCACGCGTATGCTGTCTCGTTTCATCCTCGTCACGACTCCCTGAAGTCAGTCACGGCGTTATCCCCATTTCTAAAATGCGCCGAGGCTCAGGGAGGCCAGGGTCCCCCAGCAAGGAGGAGCAGAGCTGGGATGTGCCCGTCGTGGTGACTAGACCAGTCAGGCCGAGGGGATGGTGGGTGCCGACAGGGGAAAGGACTTCCACCACCGCCCTTGGTCACTCCTAGTCCCGGATTTGCTAAAGCCCCCGAGTATTCCGTCTGCGTTAGTTTCCCGCGGCTGGTCTGAGTTTGGCTGAGCGCGTGGGGTTATTCACGTCCTCTGGAAGTCACTTCTCACCTCAGAGCCACGGCGTTGTTTGCTTCCTACTTCCTGCTTCGCTGCTGGGCCTTCCCTGGATGCTGGAGAGCTCACCCATCCTGACGCCACTACCCCGGAGCGAAGCGGCACTAACACATGTGCCTTTTGGGGGGAAAGGTTCTCCGAGGGCCTCTGGGTGCCCAGCCGAAGGCCTCTCCCGCTTGGCTGCCTTTTCTGTCCCTTTTACCTTTTACTCGGGTGATGTGGACGCTCGTGTTAATTTAGTTCCCTCTCTAGAGAACATAGTTCCACCCCCCTTTACTGCTTCAGTGAGCAAGTTATCTGTGCAGCCACTTATCTCAAGTGCTATGTTGTCACTTCGGTCCACAGCCATCTGGGCAGTTCTCAGTATCCAGGAAGCGGAGGGGCCTTCTCGGGTATCTGGACAAAGTTTCCAAATCACAGAGTTACTCCAGGACTGGGGCCGTGGGTACAGAAGTCTCACATTGAGTTGGAAAAGAGTTCAGTATTGAAAAGATGTCCCGTCTCCTGTGCTGTTCAGCACGAGTGGGTCTCGGCTGCCACCCTCTTGAAGTCAACTTAGGGAGGTGGGCACTGGGAGAACCTCCGGCAGACCTTCCCCAGGGGCCCCCTGCCCGAAATCTTGACAGGTTATAACCTCTGCCTTCTGGCCTCCTCCTGGGAGGTGGGGGTAGGAGGTGGGAGAGAAGATGGTTTTTCAAACGAGAACCTAATTAGTTACTAGAGAAGGCAGTTTATACCACTGGGAGTCTTCTAAACGTATCCTTTTCTGGCTGTAGCTCTCTGGGGGAGCGGGGGGAGGGGTTACAGCAAGCTCGGGGGCGATGATTCCAGGTTCCCCTAGGTTCTCTTTTTCCCTGAAGTTATAGGACTTGATAACTGTCCCTTGCTATGTCTTGTTCCCCTGACCCCTTCTCCACTCTTCTGAACTCTTCCATCTAGCAGAGCTTCTCTGGTTGAAGAAGCCAGAGTGTTTGGCTTTTCATCTCTCTGTAACCCAGGAGTTAGCTAGGGGTGATTTGCCGCCCTCTACCCGCCCGCCACACCAGGGAACATTTGGCAGCTCCGGAGACATTTGATTGTCTTGACTGGGGGTGCTGCTGGCATCTAGTGGGTAGAGTCTGGGGATGCTGCCAAACATGCGACAAGGCACAGGACAGCCCCCACGACAAAGACCTATCCAGTCCAAAATGCCAGTGGTGCTAAAATGAAGAAACTGTGCTGTACCTAGTGCGTGTCCTTCGGTCTTATTCCTTCGTCTCTCAGAAGCAGTCGAGAGAGATTCAGAAGCGAACGGCTAAGGGAGAGTTCTTGTGCCCTGACCTGAGCCATGGGCTTCATGGTCTCATTCCGCCTGGCTCGTACCTTGAATGAAACCATGTTTCCTAAAAGGCCCGCCTCTTCGGATGGTTTTTGAAGACTAAATGATCAGTTCGTGCATGATAAAATATCAGCATGGCGCATGGCACACTCTATAAATGTTTCAGCACTGAACCAAACCCCTGTCTCTTATTGTGGCCACTGAAGGTTTTAATGTACATTATTTAAAACCCTGATAGCTGGGGAAATGCAAGGGAACAAGGCTAATAATAACTCTCCCTCCTCGGAGTTCTTATCAGCAGCTGGACTTTTCAGAGCTTTATATATAAAAGTTCGAGCAGAAGCAGCAGCTGTTCTTGCTTTAATCTGAAGCTGCTGGGGAAGTGTCTGCTTCCTGGGTTGTGAGACAGTTGCTTATGTCTGGCTGTCACTGAGGATCCTCAGGGATGGGAGACTTTTCACGGACCACTGGGTAATGGACTCGATCTTATTTTCCAAGTCTCTCTACTTAGTCTCACGATTTAGAAGTGTAACGAATCTTTTCCCTATTTTTAAAATGGGAAAAAAATAAACCAACCAGGCTTGGTATGGCTTGAATACATCAGCTACGCTGGATGCTCTACCTTTTTTGACTTCTCCTCAAGTGCCCAAAGCCAAGTCAGAAATCAGGATTATTTGCCGTTCCTCTGTAAGGTAGCTTTCGAGGAGACAGCGTAGCCGCGAGGGAGAAGCGCCTTCCCACCGACTGGGTGTGCGTGGTGCGCTCGCAGCTCAGCTAGACCGATGCCCTCTCGGCTGATGACCCACACGATCACCTTTCCTTTGTCCTCTGTGGAGATCAGCGAGAGGATGTGCATGAAGCTCTACGTGAGGATAAGGTAAACGAACATGGGGGAGAGATGCTTCTGCTAATTTCTCGTCCCCAGGAGTCCCGACCGCTACATGTCGTGCTGGGAAATGAAGCCTGCGACTTGGACTCCATGGTGTCCGCTCTCACCCTGGCTTTTTACCTGGCAAAGGTAAGTACTTAGGAACAGCATCTCTTAGAAGGAAAAGATTTGGATTCACGACCCAGCTCTGCTGCTTAACCCCATTTAGTCTTGGGGAAGTTAAAGCTCTTTAACTTTGCCAAGTCTCACATCATCATCATCTATAAAGCCCGAAAAGATAATATTTTACAGTGTCGCTGTGAGGATCCAACGCGTAAATGTATTTTAAAGCATTTGTAAATCATAAAGCAACATTCAGACAGTTGAATGTTGAGTTCTTACGGATGTCTGTAAGCCAGTGTGTAGACCTCACGGCCAGGTCAGGTCTTGAAGACTGATAACCTTCACCACCTAGAACCAGGCCTTGCCATGAGTTAGCCTGTGGACGCTCATGTCATTGCTAAGGAGAGAGGGCAGGCGTTGTCCTTTTATTTTTATCCGCTGGGTAATTGTGGCGTTGTCAAAGGCAGTAACTTACCCGGAGTCGCGTCTTCCTTGTCTTGTTCCTTTTTCTGTGTCTTCTGAGACTTTGCCATACCTGCTCTCACTCTCCTCTCCAGACGACCGAGGCCGAGGAAGTCTTTGTACCGGTTTTAAATATAAAACGTTCTGAGCTACCTCTGCGAGGTGACAGTGTCTTCTTCCTTCAGAAGATTCACATTCCAGAGTCCCTCCTGATTTTCCGGGATGAGATCGACCTCCATGCATTGCACCAGGCTGGCCAGCTCACCCTCATCCTTGTTGACCATCATGCCTTACCCAGGTGAGTGGAAGGAGGTTAAGCTGGTACTTACCGTGTGCCATGCCGGCCTCTGATGAGTAAGACAGAGATGAAGGAAGAATTTTTGCTCTCGGAGATCTCACAGGCTAGTCTTAATTGATAGATCATATCAGATAAAGAAAAAAAGCAAAATTATTTCCTACATAAGGCACTATCTCGTTAGTGTCTAGTTAACAAAGGCACACGCCTGTAATAATTCTATCCCTAAGTTAGGACGGAAAAAATTGCCAACAAAGCAACACAAGGATGAGACTTTCCTAAGTCTGTCTGGCTCCTGCGAGTATTAAGATGTATGTTTCTTTTGTGGGCACAGTGGTTGTGGCAGGACGTTGACAGAGAGCATCGATCTAAGGGCATCGATCCAGCTTTCCGTTCACTCATTAATAAACTTTTGTTTAGAGGACAAAGGTGAAAGAATTCCTGTTTTCAAGAAGCTTTCCATCGGGAAGAGTTAACTAGGCATGCACGTCATCACGACAGGTTTCGAGTCAGGTGATAATTGTCACTCTCGGGGACAGCAGGTGCCCGAATGGTGGAGTGGTTAAATACACTACAGGGGAGTAGAGATGACAGGAACGGTTTCCTCACAGAGTTGACCCTTTATCTGTCTTGAAAGGGAACGAGGTGTTTGCTCAGGGACTGGGGAGGCGAGGTAACCAGGAAAACCAGGCAGAGAGAGTGGTTAATGCAAGCGAGGCGGGCGGGCGTGAAGCAGCATGGGGCGCTGGGGGCGCTGGAATTGGGTTTGCATGGCTGGGGCGGAAAGTATGAAGGAGAAGTAGGATGTGGAAGAGGATAAGACGAGAGAGGTCGGCAGGGGCCAGATCGTGGAGGCCTCGTAAACCCTGCTGACGAGACAAGGTTTTATTTTAGGGCCGTGGGAAACTGTTGTTAATTGTATTGAGCTGCTGGACTAGATCAGATGAGAGGTATCAAGGGCCTAGGATCGGGCAGCAGCAGAGAGTTGGAAGGAGGGAAATGGGTGGGAATGGGGAGAGAAGCCACGGCATCTGGTGACCGGCATGGAATTTGGGTATTAAGTGAACTGAGGGAACAAGAGAGTTTGAGATGTTGGGCATCGGGGGTGTTGGAAAGGTAACCCTGAGAGACGTCAGGGGTGTGTGTGGGCGAGGTATTGGTAGCAGATACTCTACCAAATTCACACGTACACTAAAGTCGTCTTCAGGTATAACATTACAGAATCGAGAGGAGTGGGGCAGAGGTGGAAGTGACCAAGGGTCTAGGTGTTGGCCCGAGCTATCTGCAGTGTCCCTCACGGGTGAGGTGGCGCTTGGCCGGAAGCAGCGGAGTGCTCCTACCTGTCTCTGTCTCTCTCTCCCCCGCACCCCCGTCCCCACACAGAAGCGACGCAGCGCTGGAGGAGGCAGTAGCAGAAGTGATAGACCACCGGCCCATCGAGCAGAAGTGCTGCCCTCCCTGCCATGTTTCCGTGGAGCTGGTGGGGTCCTGTGCCACCCTGGTGACCGAGAGGATCCTGCAGGGGGCACCCGAGATCTTGGACAGGCAGACGGCAGCCCTTCTGCATGGTGAGGGCGGGTTGGTGGAGGGCCGACCAGTTAGCCCCTCTGTGCTTATCCCGGAGAAGGGAGAGTGGGAAGTCTAGACGCTTCCAGCCTGACCACAGCAAAGGGTGGGACTCTTTCAGGGGCAACTAGGCGCTGCGAGGCCGGGGGTGCTTTGCTGGAGAACATGGAAAGGAGGCACCGGACAGCTGACCTGGGAGCTGCGCTCACAGCACCGTGAGGTGCAGAGAGGAGGAGGCCAGGAAGCAGGAAACGGTCCAGTACCGTTTCTGCCCAGGAAGTAGTTGTGTGACCTTGAGGAAATCTCTTAACCTTTTTATTCTCATTTTCTCCATTTGTAAAAAAAAAACAAAAAAAGAAGAAAAAGCAAGTTGGACTAGACTACCTCTTCCAACTTATAAGATTCCTTGCTGGAATTTGGCCTGTGGAAGAGAGGGTGTCTCTATGACAAGGTTTTGGATTCTCCAAGGGTCGGGGCGCAGGCGTCCTCACTGCCTTTCCCCTGCCCGCCGCCTGCCTCTTAGTTTGGATTTGAAGGTCTTACTCAGGACATGGTCCCAGTTTCTTGTTCTGTTTGCAGCGAGTTTGCCATACGGTCACCTCTGCTTTGTGCCCATTTGGAGGGCCGCGTGTGTTTTAGGGGTCATGAATGGAGGGCCACAGGATTTGCATTCTACCTTCTCCCTTCCCCGCAGGAACAATCATCCTAGACTGTGTCAACATGGACCTGAAAATTGGAAGGGCCACCCTAAAAGACAAGAACTGTGTGGAGAAACTGGAGGCCCTCTTCCCAGATCTGCCCGAGCGAAGCGACATCTTTGATTCTCTGCAAAAGGCAAAGTTCGATGTGTCAGGTATGAAGTGGTAGACGGACCTTTCTCCCTCCCACGTGAAGAGAACAGGTGGGCCAGCCTTGGTCCTTATGTCCTTGAGCACCATCAAAAACAATCTCAGAGCTTGCGTAATGATTTAAGCCTTACACCACAGAGAAACGAGATGGCGCGTGAGTCCGATCGGGAACTAATCAATCATTTACTGGGTCATTCTGTCTGGGCCACTGGGAGGATGAGGAGGAATACATTAAGAGTCTCAAAGGTTTCCAGTCTAATCAGAGGATACCGGCATATGAATAACATAGACAGAGGAAATACTAAATGATCAGCGTGAGATCTAGATAATCGGTTAGGGAAGCAGAAGAAATAGGTTGAATATACCAAGGACAAAGGAAGAGAACAAAAAATTTCCATAATTTTCTACCCGGCTACCACCTGTTGACATAAAAAGAAAAAGAAAAGTACCACATATACTTTTAGAAACAACACAGAAGGGGCCTCTCTTCTCTTCACCCTTGTTTCCAAGTCCCTTGCTCTAGCGGTAACTATTATGACCCAGTCATTGAAAGTAATTTTTTTATTTTTTACGCCGACAGCACCAGGACTTCCCGGGTGGTCTCCCATCCAAATACTAACCAGGCCCGACCCTGCTTAGCTTCCGAGATCAGACGGGATCAGGCGTGTTCAGGGTGGCATGGCCGTAGACTAAAGTAATTTTTTTATATATAATTACATTCTTAGCTTTCAGCCACGTTCATTGCCCCAAAAAGAGGCTGTGTTTTTCCTCTTTCTTGATCCATCTCAGGGTCCTTCCTTTCCTGGTCTTGGGGCCCGGGGCTCTCTGGTTTGACCCCTAGTCGTACATCTGCCTTCTAGGACTGACCACTGAGCAGATGCTGCGAAAGGACCAGAAGACCATCTCCAGACAAGGCATCAAGATGGTCATCAGTGCCATCTATATGGATTTGGAGGTAGGAGCGAGACGTGGGCGTGGGTGGGGAAAGAGGTCAGTCACAAGGGCAGTTACGTGGGTGGCCTTACCCCTCACTCCTGGCGCTCCAGCGGACTGTGCCTGCACCCATCTGTGCCTCTCCGTCTCTGTCGTAACTCCCACAGTTCATCCTCTCTCACTGCACCGCTGCGACAGCCCCCAGACTGGTTTCCCTGCCTCCACTTCTGCACCCCTACAGACCACTCTCCCCACAGCAGCTGGAGCGGTCTCCTTAAAACACAAGTTAGATCATGACACCTGCTCCCTTCACTGCCTTTTCTTTGCACCGCCAAGAGGGTGTCGAGGCCTCGCTGTGGTTTCCAGGCCCCCGTGCTCTGGCCCTTGGCTTTCCCTCTGGCCGATCTTGCTCCGGCCCCACTTCCCCGCTCCCGTGCTCCCCGTGCTGCAGCCTCACTGGTTTCCCTTCTGTTCCTCTGAGCCCGTCAGCCCATTCCCGTCCCAGGACCTCTGCACTTGTTTTTCCCTTTGCAGAGTCTTACGGTTCGGGTCCTAGCTCACATGTCGCCTCTTTTCAGTTTTTTCCTGACCATCCTAACCGGAATAATGTTCTCCCTGCTCAAAACTCTCTAGCACTTATTTGGCTAGCACATAACACACTGAAATAATCATAGTTCTTGGTCTCCTCGTTTATTGTCGATAGTCCTCTGCTCCTTTATCGGCTCCACCAGAGCAAGAACTCTATTTCTTTTTTGTGCAATATCTCCTTTGACAGTGCCTGGCTCATAGTAGATGCTCAGTAAATTTCGTTGGCATGACGAATGAATATAATTTTGATAACGGTATTGTAATTGCTGATTTCATATCATATTGGTTAGAATCATTCGGCAACCTGAACTGAACGCATAACTCTCACAGTCTGCACAGCTTTCTGCTAAATACTGTATGAAAATACCAAATGAATAAAGCTAAATAGCACAGCCTCTTCCCTTATGACTCATAACCTAGTTTGGGAAACAAACAGCAACACGAAAGGCTTACGCAGTAGCGTAATTGCAGGGCAGATGGACACGTCTGAGGAAGGCCCCGATCTGAAGCAGCCAGTGGTGTTACCCGCTGGAGGGAACACTGCGTGAGATTTTGGGGAGGAGTATAGATTGGCCAAGAGTGAAGGGCCAAGGACGCAGTTGTCACATGTCTGTTCTCATCTGTATGCCCTGCTGTTCAGTTTTAGAATAAAAATAACCACAAGGCAGAGACCCTGCCTGTTTGATTGCAAGAGCAGGCGAGCCTTGTATGTGCCAGCACGTTACCCATATTATCATCTTTCGATTCTTAAAACAATCGTGTTTGGTAAATGTTTTATGCTCATTTCACAGATGAGGAAACTTAAGTCTAGGGAGTTTAATATAACTCCTTGATCATAGCTAATAGGTAATAGGGCTGATTTTCAAACCAGTTCTATCAGACCTCAAAGCCTGTATTCCCCCCATTCTACAAACTGCCTCCCAGCACGTACCACAGAGCAAATACCACGTACCCTTTTTATGGAGTGTGAGTCTCAGGCTCACATGCAAGGAAGCGTCTGTAAGCACTTTCTGTCCATTTCTTGTCTTCCAGGCCTTCCTGCAGAGGTCCGGCCTCATTGCGGATCTCCGTGCTTTCTGCCAGGCTCACAGCTGCGATGTCCTGGTTGCCATGACTATCTTTTTCAACACTCACAATGAGCCAGTGCGGCACCTGGCTATTTTTTGTCCCCATGCTGCACTCCGAATGACGGTGAGTCTCCGTCCCCTCCCGAGGGCCCCTGGAGCTCTGCCCGTCCGCGCCACCTCACGTCGGAAAGACCTCTCCTTGGTTCTCATATTTACACAGACGTCCCTCGGCCTGTTTCCCAAATCTTCCCGCTTTTGCCTGTTCCCTCCGTACCTGACTGTCCTTGGTCACTCTACTGCCAAAGAAGGGAGATTCCAGAGAGACTGAGAGACGCAGTTCTTACTGAGAAGGAGCGACGTGCCAGGTTAAAGGGAAATGTCGCAGAACTGGGGTTCAGACTCGAGTCGTCATTTAATCATTCATTCCCAGCCCTGAAAATCAATTCCTTCCTTCTTATCCTATTGCCTGAAGACGGAGGCACCAGAGGAAGCTTTTCTACAGCTTACCCCTGCGGGAGCCAGCTACACCGTGCCGCACTGGCTTGGTAGAGAAGTGACCTCAGAGCTGGCTTGTTTTCTTTCCTGATCTTCCGTGGGGCCACTCACCCGCCTCCTCCCTTTCTTTCCCTCTGTTGGCTACTCACCAGCCCAGGGAAGAATTTAAAAGTGAGCTTCAGGCAGGCCAGGCACGCTTTGGGTTGCTCGGGCTGAGCGAGGACGCTGAAGGCTGGCCTGCACACCACCACAGACTCCTCTGGGCCCCTAAAAGGTCCATCGGCCCCTTCTCACTTCTCTCTGCCTTTGTCTCCTCCAAGAAGCCAGGGTACCTCAGTTCAGTGGAAGGTAGCTTGGCGTTGTGGAAGAAACTACAGTCTTTAAAGGCAGATGGACATGCTTTTCTGTCCCAGATTTGCCACGTACTTGCTCTTTGAGCTAAGGCAAGTCAGTTGACTTCTGAGTCTGCAAGCGGCATAACATCACTTACTAATTAGTCTGATGTAATCAGTGAACATGATATATGTGAAGGGCATTGCTGGGCACAGACGGTGGCTCTTACTGATCACGTCACGAAGGAAAGGGCTCTCTGGCGACAGAGGTGGCTCCCCCACCTTCCTGCGCCGCCACCGCCGCCCTCCATGCTAGGAATCGGGAGTCCTCTCCTCGCAGTCCGCCCCGCCATTTCCTGTCTTCCTCCGTGTTAGGAATGATGTGATAAAGTGACTCTGAGCACCAGCTTTGGCGACAGACCTAGGTTCAGGTGTCAGCTTTGCTTCATTCAGTCTGTGACTTCGGGCAAGTTACCTAATCATCCCGTTTCCCCACCTGTAAATGAGGGAACAGTGACATGGCGTCTTACCAGCTGGGGTTTGATGAGAGAACGTTTGTAAATAGCCAGACCTGGCACCGTGCCGGGCAGACCTCCCACCCTACTTGGATCTATTTATTCTTTCTGCCTCCGCCCTTCCCCTGACCTCAGTATAGATGCTTGTCCCATCCCAGCCAAGGACAGAGTTCAAGTTTTGAACACGAGAATACACTTGGAAACAACGCTAGGTCAGGAGCTGGAGGCCCTGGATTCTGGTTCACATTCCACCATCACCTACATGATCTTGTTCAAGATGTTTAATCTCTTGGGGCTTTGGTTTACTGATTATAAAATGAAGTATATGATCTCAAATGCTTCTTTTGTTTCTAAAATACTAAGTGTACTAGCTGATGCGCCTGTGGTTGCGAGCAAGGAAACCGAACTCAGGGTGACTTAATAAAATTTTCTCCTCTATAAGAGAAGCCTGTATCTTAGAAGCCTCGGCAGTTTGTGTCACCACCTCATATAGCATTTTCTGGTCTCTTCTCCCCTTTAGATCTGTGGAGTTCTGGAACGCTCCTCCTCTCCGTCCCTGAATCTGACCCCCGCCCCAAGTATCCACCCTAACCTCCAAGCCTACCTTCAAGGAAACACCCAGATCTTTCGAAAGAAACTTCTGCCTCTGCTCCAGGAAGCACTGTCAGCGTATTCGGACTCCAAGGCCACCCCTTCAGGGCAGCATGAGACAGCGGGTGTGTCCGGGGAGCAGGTGGACAAGGAATTGGATGGGGCAGGTGCCCTCCTTTTTCCCAGACTGAGCCAGGATGAGGAGGAGCCCTCGCTGCCCCCGACGCCCATGAACAGCTTGGTGGATGAGTGCCCGCTGGACCAGGGGCTGCCCAAGCTCTCAGCCGAGGCCATCTTTGAGAAATGCAGTCAGATCTCGCTGTCACAGTCTACCACTTCCTCCGTGTCCAAGAAGTGACAATTGGGAGGGAAGGGGATAGTGGAGGTTGCTCGACGCATCTCGAATACACGTTCTGAGACGGATCAGCGTTTTCCTCGTTACTCCAAGACCTGGTGTGCTGTAAACCCGGGCGAGATGGGCCAGGGGAGGGGAGTGGCTGCTGTAGGGGTGGCCCTTCCCCCCCCGGGGTCTCTACCAATCAGAGTTTATTATTTAACTTAATTTTTTAAACCTGCGCTGACTCCTCTATTCCATGTCGCCGGGGACACAGTGTAACTCCTCCACGGTTCCGGCAGTGACTCAAAAGGATGTGGGCCCCAGAAGTGCCCTCAGCAAGGCTCTTTAACAGAACCAGTGTCTCTCATGGAACCATTCATTGTCTCCGTGTGTTTGTTTATTCTCTGATTAATTCACGTATTTATTGAATGCCTACTTTAAGCTAGATAGAAAATTGAGTGTGCCGTGGAAACGCCTGTTCCAGCTTTCAGCCTTCAGCAGGTTCCCGGCTTCGTGAGTCCTCTTCCTGCCTCTGATGAGGTGAAAGTGTCTGGTTCCGAATAGAAATGGCTAAATTTCTATTCTGCGTGTACTGTGACTCTCAGCATCATTTGGGAGCAAATCAGAGGCCATTATCTTCTGTCCTGATCAGGCGGGCTGACTCCCTCTGTCCCGAAGCCACAGGGAGCCAGAAGAGACCCCATAGACCCCTGGTTCTTGGGTGCTCAGGAGGCGCTGGACCTCATGGTCATTCTTCCCGAAAGACGCAGAACCGAATTAGGGGCCAGGCTCCGTCCCCCGTCTTAGCAAGTCTGCCAACTTCTTGTCCACGTCGCTCTCTTGTTCAGAGAGGAAGCGTGGGATGCTACCGCCGACTGCCGTGACCTGTGTGTCTCTTGGGAAGACACGTCTTCTCTCTAGGTCTCGTTTTCCCCATCTGTAGAACCAGGGCTCTGGACTGGAAGTTCTCGTACTCTGTGATCTGCCTCTTGCCGCCATCCTTTCTCTCTGCTTCTGTGTTGTTGTGTGTGTGTGTTTTTTTTTTTCCCGTTTGCCCTGGGAATGCTTAGGGTCGCTGGACTGCCTGTGTTTATGTGTGAGTGTACCAAGGGACTCAGCCTCATGTGGCATGTGCCGCGGTGATTCATAGCAGAGTGATGCGAAGCGCGCCCCCCACTGGCCTGCTCTGCACCTGCATTCTCCTTTTCTCTCCAGCCCTCCTGTCCCCCTGCCCCCGCCCCACAGCTCTAGGCTGTGTAAGGGGCCGCCAGTTTCACTGGACGGTGGGGTGCGTGGTGTTTTGGCATGGCGTCTTCAGGAGGACGGGGACAGTGACTCCACTTTGCAGGGATGATGTGTGTAGCCATCGAAAGGCAAAAGCAGTGGCGAGGTCACCGGGCCAAAGGAATTTGTTTGTCACTTGGGTGCCTTGTTCTGCATTTTGTTAAAGTATTAAATGTCTTTTTCCTGTCTTCCTGTCTCTTTTTTACAGCTGTAGTCAGGGCTGTCCCTGGGGTGATTTTTCAGCCTCCTCAAGGGTCACCCCCCGTCCTCCTGCCGTACTTCGTGTAGGAATAAGCAGCAACAGTCTCTGCTCATCCTCAGCCTTTCCTTTAATTAGTGTCTCTTTCCAGAACACTCTTCATGACACTTCTGTGTCACCGATTTTGCTGATGCTCAAAAAGTAAGGCCAAGGTAGTCTTAAAACCAAAATGGTTTTTACTGTTGCCTTTTTTCTTCTTAAAAAAAAAAAAAAAATAGCAGCTTCCAGCTTATAAGGTGTCTATAAGACAGAACAAGTTGCCTTACTGGACCCCCCAAGACCAGAAATTGTGCCCTCTTCCCCGAACCCGCCCCCACACAGGCAGGGTTCTTTTGGGCGAACCTGCTTCTTGGGAAGGGAGGTGGCGAAACCTGTTTGAAGGCGAGGTTACCTCCCTTCCCCACCTCCCTCCTCGGAGGCGAGGGCAGCAACAGCTGAGGCAGCGAAGGGCACAGAGGTGCTGGGGAGCTGGAGCGGCCTGCTCCCCGGCAACCCCAGGTGCTTAAAGCCGGAGACGGGAAGATGGGAAGTCTACCAGAGGCAGGAGAAAAGCCCCTGGGTCTTGGGTAAGTAAGAGCCTGGCCGACCTGAGGGGAAACGAGAAGCGAGTGGTGCTGAGGGACTGTCCCACCATCCAGCTGTCACCAGGTCGAGTCTCGTGTTCCTAGGGACAGTGAGACTGTAGGAAAATCAATTTGCAGAGAAGGGACGGGTGGCTTTAGGCAGGACACGTCAGCATGGTGTGGGAGCTGGGGAGTCCAGGGTAATTCCCTATTGTGTTGTGTGTGTGTTTTTTTAAGAAAGTTTGTATTTTGTGTCTGATAAATCTGCCCCTGTTTTCTAACCCCACCTTCCAAATTGGCCATCGGGAAAGCCGACCCAGAACTAAGGTTTTAGGTCCAGGTTCTCCTCCCCGGCAAACCTTTCTTCCTCCTCACCTTATTCCTCACCCTCCACCTGTGCCACGGTTGCCCCTCACCAACCACTCCCAACATGGTGGAGGAAAGGCAGGCCTGACTAGGTGCCATCTTCCCGAACTCTGCCCAGTGACAGCTGGGCAGGGCAGGTCTGTCGGGTTCCAGCCCGTTGGAATGAGGACTGCTTCTCACCCCTGCTCTAGGTGGAGCAGCTGCCATAGGGGTAAACACGACTGGTTTCGCTTTCATCCTGCTCCCCAACCCGACAGCGGGGCCCATCTGCCCAGCGAGTGCTGAAGCTGGTAGAAATGTCTCTAGGAGACGAGACCTGAGTTCTTTTCCAGGCCCGCCCTCCACGCTGCACCTTGATTACAATCCCTATCCCAGTGTCCCACCTCTCATCCAGTTCCCCTAAGACACTGCCTCGTTTGTCTCACGGTCGTCTCTTCCGGGGTCCGGGGCACTGTCTTAGGGTCAGGGAGAATGCAGAAGCAGCAGGACTAGCAGCGTCCTCGAGACTTGGGGAACTGGACCTGGAGGAGGAATGGCAGGATGAAGAGTTCCCTCGGTGAGGAGGTGTGAGGGAGGCTGGGAGGAGGCAGGGATGGTCACCAGGGGAGGGCAGGGATGCTAAACTAGGACTTGAAGGTCAGACGGGAAAAGGGAGCAGAGGTGGTAAATCGTGGCGGAGAGAGAATTGATCGGTTGATCCCTGGCTTGACGCCTTTAGCCTCGCTTTTCCCCCCTTTTAATCGTTTTCCCTGCAGATTGCTCCCTGAAGAGGCCGACGCTTCTGAAGGTCCTGGCGGCCCTAAAAGAGACGCACAGGCAGGTGGGTGCAGTAGAGCCTCGGCCTCAGGTTCTTGATTCCAATCCAGGGAAGGGTCATACCCCCCCACTTTGCAGTTCTGCCACCCCTTTCCTACGTGTCCCCTGCGTTAGTCTTCTTTAAAGTTTGTCCCATAGTATCACTTCCATATGCAGGAATTCCAGCCTCCCCCGCTAACACACACACATCTCTCTATTCTTTTGTCATCCTCCCCCCAACCCCAGGTACCCCCAGCACGTTAGCCTTGTGTGGCCAGCGCCCCATGCGTAAGCGTCTCTCTGCCCCAGGGTTGCTACTGAATCTGACAAAGGAGCCTGGAGATGATGGAGCTTCTCCTACCCACTCTGTCCCTTCGTCTCCCGGTGGCAGCTCTGACCTGGAAGTAGACGAATTGGAGACACCTTCAGACTCGGAGCAGCTGGACAGTGGACATGAATTTGATTGGGAAGGTGGGAAAGACACCTGAGGACTTAGCTGGTAGAAGTAGAGGCCAAATTCAAGAAGCTCAGGATGGACTTAATGGGACTGAAGTCAGAGCTAATGAGGTGGGGACTGAGAAGTGAGGTCAGCAAACGCTATTTCCTCAGAATGGAAAAGCAGAGCTGAGAGGCCGAATGTGACAGCAGTCAGTAGAGGAGGGGTGGCGTCCTTCGTTTATTAAGGAAAACTATTGAATGACTGTTCCCAGCCATCACCGAGCCAGAACCGGAGTTAGAAAGATGAGAACAGAGAATTGTCTGTTCCGTAAGAAATAAACATACAAATAAGCGCAGGTAAAGGTTGAGATCTGCATGTTACCTGCAGGTGTGGAGAAGGAAAGGTCAGTTCTGGGGGAGGGGCGGGGTCAGGAAAGGCTCCCCGAGGAGGGTCTCCGAGCTGGGCTCCGAGCTGCGCCCTCGAGCTGGAAGGAGCAGCTTGGGCAGCAGCGTGGTGCGTTGGGTAGTTCAGAGCGTCAAGCGTGACTGTGGGATATTAAGGAAATCTTTCTTCTTCACTCAACGCTTCTGACACCATCGGGGTGGGTTCCCCCACAGCAGCCAATTCTCCAGCTCTCCAGACGCCAGCTGGGTGTCCTGCGATTCACATATGACACTGACTACCTGGGGTCAGCGCAGATCCCAGAGGTTAAGGGCTTGGTCCCCCAAGACTGCCCCTGCCCCCCACTTCAAACACCAGCCGCATGTTCAGGTTGTCACCTGTGCTCCTGACCAACTGGCGACTCGCGACCCCCTCCTCAGCTTCGATACTGTGCTAGAATGGCTAATAGCACCCAGGAAAACGGTTACCTATCAGATCACAGATTCACTCTAAGAGGATGCCACTCAGAAGGCAGAGCTGCATAGGGTAAGGTGTGTGGGAGGGGTGTGGAGCTTCTGGGCCCACAGCGGGTCCACCACCCTCCCGGCACCTCCACGTCCGCTGGCCCAGAAGCTCTCGGAACTCCTCAGTCCGAGTTTTCTTGGAGGCTTCATTATGAGGACTGATCGACTAAGTCAGTGGCCAGTTAGTGATTAACTCAGCCTTTAGTGTCCCCTCCCCAGAGGTCGGAGTGTGAAAGGTCCAACCCTCTAATCACATGGGTGGTTCCCCTGGCAACCAGCCGCTCATCCTTTGGGGCTTTCCAAACTCACCTCGTTAATAAAAACTCGGGTGGTTGGAAGGCACTTGCTCTGAATAGGAAAAGATTTTCCTTTCACCTTTCTCATCAGGAGCTGTTTCAGGAGCCAGGGACAAAACAAAAATATACATTTATTATTATATCACAGATATGAAGGGCTGGGAGGTAAAGAGAATGCTCTGCTAGGTAGGCAGGGTCCAACCATGGAGATCCTTGCTACCATAAGAGTCTGGATTTTATCCTGTGGGCAGTGGGGAGTCATCGCATGGTTTTGCTCAAGGAAGTAACACGATCAGGTTCCATCGCTCTGAAAAGACTGGAAACAACCTGTGGACATTTATGTTTATTCAGTTTCTTCTTAAGGTGGAGAAAACTCTTTGTAAATGTCCTAGAGAAACAGAGTAGCTTTCTGTTCACCTTTTGCAAGTAAAAAGGTGGATCGTTCCACTACTGACATTTATAAAAATGAAAATAAAAATAAAAAAATAAAAATTTTTAAAAAAAGATTGGAAAGAACCTAAGGCCCCTCAGTAGGGTATCAGTTCCATTATGGCGCATCTATACGGTGGAGTACTAAGTACCAGGCGACTATTTTTTCAGATGAGGCAGTTCTTTCTATTGCTGTGGAAAGATCATGCAGAATTAGTGGGTATGTGGGATTGCCATTTGAGTGAAAGAGGTAGGAGAGACAAAAGCAGGCAATGCTGTAGAGGGTGGCATGGGGGGAACGGAGTGGAGGCAGGGAGACCAGTTAGGAGGCTGGTTCTGAGGCCAGATGAGAAATGCTAAGAACCCGCACAGGCCAGTAGCAGTGGAAAGAACAAAGAGTGTAATGGACATAGATGGGGCAGGATCCAGGGTCCAGTTGTCTCGAGGGCTGAGAGAGAGGAAGGCGTCTCGGATGACGTCCAGTTAGGTTCTCTCTCAGGAAGCTAGATGCATGGCGTCATTCATCAAGAAAGGAAGTGTGGGAGAGAGGAGGAAGAGCATGAGTTTGAGTCGCACTTTGAGTCTGGTGACTTGGAGATGACGGAGGGACACAGAGTGGACATGTCCAGTCCAGGCAGCCGGGGGTTCGGGTCAGAGTTAGGAGAGAAGCCTGGGTTAGAAGGCAGATGTGGGAGTCATCACCTTACCGCTGGTGATCGAAGACATGGCAATAGATGAACTCGCCCAGGGAAAAGCATGGAAAGAAAAAAATAAAGAATCTGGAAAAAAACATACTGACCAGAGCCATTGACCTACAATAATGCCAGGTTACTTCAAGGCCACTGCCTACTGAAAAAAAGTGAGAATAATGAGTCATAGGAAAGAGTAACTGGAAAGGGGTTGGGTGTATTGGACAAACCAGGGCTAGAGGCATGGTGGGGGGGGGAGTGAGGAATGAGAGGCTGCTGTAATGAACTCCAGGAATCCCGGGGAGTTACGGGATGCTGGAGGTGCGTGTTCTGTGCAGCTAACCTTTCTCCATCCCTCTGTTTCAGATGAGCTGCCCCAGGCGGAGGGTCTGAGGCCCAGTGAGGCAGCTGAAGGGCTGGGCCAGGGTTGTGTGTGGGATGTGGCTGGAGAAGACGGTCATCGCTGGAGGGTGTTCCGAACAGGACAGCGGGAGCAGCGAGTGGACATGACTGCCATTGAGCCCTATAAGAAAGCCCTGTCTCATGGAGGTGAGGGCTGGCGTCGGTGGAGGGGCAGAACGGTGACCGCTTGAATGAAACGAGTAAACTGGACACTGTTATTGGGTTCACAGTCCTTCCCGTAACTTCCTGACACCCTCAGAGCCCCTCAACCTAAACATGTCTGTCAATACGGATTTGCTGACGGAGTGAAGTTTCCCTTATCCTTCCCAGGTTACCATGGTGATGGCCTCAATGCTGTCATCGTCTTTGCTTCCTGTTATCTGCCCAGAAGCAGCATCCCCAACTATACTTATGTCATGGAACACTTGTTTAGGTGAGGCGGGAGGCCCGAAGGGCCCCAGGGGGGCTGTTAGGGAGGGAAACGTAAAAAAGAACTCACTTCTATGGTCGGTAGCTGATTGTAGAACCTACAGTGATGTCTCTGTCACTCCCCACGACCCCGAACACACACCTTCCCTGACACTTTCTCCCCCCACCCCCTGCCCCAGGTATATGGTGGGAACTCTGGAGCTGCTGGTAGCTGAAAATTACCTGCTTGTTCACTTGAGTGGAGGCACAAGCAGGGCCCAGGTTCCAACCCTGGGCTGGATGCGCCAGTGTTACCGGACTCTGGACCGGCGGTGAGCCGCAGGACGAGGGGCTACGACGCCATCTTTGTCCTTTCCATCTTTCCATTCTTCCATTTAGTTCTTCCTTTTTTGTTTTGTCCCTCGATGGCCCTTTCCAACGCTCTCCTGTCTTCTGTCCTCTCTTGGAGTCAGGGAAATCTAGTTTCAAATCTTGCCTTCACTTTTTACTAGCCGTGTAACTTTGGACAAGTCACTTTACCTTTCTGGGACTCGGTTTCCTTATCTGTAAAATGACAGTGAGCATACCTTTGCCCCTGGGCATTTGTGACGATCAAGTAAACCGAAGTGGCGTGTTGCCTAACCCGCAGAAGGCGCCCCTTCCTCTGCTAGTCTTCCCATTTATTGCCTCTTCCGACCCATTGTCTTCCTAACCCACACGTCCTTTTCCCGCCACGTTCCTTTTTTCCCCCGTCTCTCTCCCATCTTGTTCGCTGGTCTTCTTCCATGTGGAGTATTATAAGTAGGCCTGGTCATGGAGCGATGGGGAAGGTACCGAAGGGACTCAGGCGAGGGCGGGGCGCAGGAGGGAGATGGGGTAGAGAAGACTGACCCGGCTGAGGGATTCTGGGAGGGGAGTTGCCTGGAATACGGAGCACGGAGGGCTGAACAAGATGGATAGAGCCGAGACTACGGGTAAGAGAATGGGCCTTAGGCCCAATGTGCCGGAGAAATCTAGAAATTAGAGAAGTGAAGGATCCTAAGGTGCAGAAGGCAGCTGCACCTGATTTTCAGGTGTGGAGGTGGAAAAATAGGACGACCTCACATTCTCTCTCAGGCTCAGGAAAAACCTGCGCGCCCTGGTGGTCGTCCACGCTACGTGGTATGTGAAGGCCTTCCTGGCACTGCTCCGGCCCTTCATCAGGTACTAACTCTGGGGACCGGGTCCCTCCTCCTCTGCTCCCCATTTTCAAAATCAGAATTAAGAACTTGCCCCATCCCGACTCGTTGTAGCCATAACCACTCTACTTCTTGCATCTCCCTTCCTGGTGGTCTCCAGGAGCCCTCTTCCCAGTATAAAACACACTTGGTTTATCCTCTCTTTTCAGTTCCAAGTTCACACGAAAGATCCGTTTTCTGAACAGCCTGGCAGAGCTGGCCCAGCTCATCTCCTTGGATCAGGTCCACATCCCTGAAGCTGTCAGACAGTGAGTTCTGAGCTGAAGCCGAAAGGCTTGGGGTGGGATGTGTAAAGCCAGTTTCCATTTTCTAAATATCTTGGGGGAGATACAAAGGAACTGAACGCCAGAGGCTCTGCTTTCGGATGCTTCGCGGTATCTGGGAAAACGGCACACACCCGGGGGAGAAATTAAGGATGCTACTGTATCCGAGAACAGGTGAAAAGCTATACACGTAAGTGCCGAGGCATCAGGGATTAAAGGAATGACCACGGCACAGGATTTAGAGGAGATTCAGACCAGCCCCAGAAATGAGAAAGAGATGTGTTGGCAGCGAATGGCAGAGACTATCCAGTGGGGGAGGGGAGCTAGGATCAAAGGATCCTAAATGATGACCCACTCAGGCACCCAGTAATCTAACTCCTCCAAGTCGCCTGGCCTCTCTCCCCAGACCAGAGTGAAACCAGGTCCTGCTGTTGTACCACTTTTTCTTTCTCTCTCCTAGGCTGGACCAGGATCTCCGTGGCTCAGGAGGGATCTAGCATAGGACTGGAATAAAGGGCCTTAGAACCAAGCAAAGATATGGACCTGCCTGCACCCTAACCCCCGAAACATCTGAGCTGTTTGTAAATCATCTCGACCTTTGACCCCAGTACCTCGGGATCTTCCCATCTCCATGGGTGTCGTTCCTTCGCTGCCCTGCCTTCAAAGCAGGGCTTTGAGGTCTGGAACCGGATCTGCGGTGACTTTCATGTCAGACATAGGGATGCACAGAGCGACGTTTTTTATGGGAAAGTACAAAGCTGTGGGTCTTAGTCCTGCTTCAGCTGTAGAACTTTGGACCAATAACTTCCTTGCGTCCCCTTTTCGTCCTTGGTAAAGGAAAGGGCGGGGCCCCTTCCACCTGGGGCTGTTGGTCGGGGAAGGTGAGAGGTGGATGGGAAGGGCAGGCCAGGAGCCGCTCCGGGAATCTCGGGGAAGCGCTGGGTGCCCCTCTTCCCCTCTCGGTCAAGCCTGCTGCCTGCGAGCCTGGGAACGAGTGTTTTCGAAACCTGCCTCTCTGTCCTCTCTAGTCCTTTCGGGTCTGTAGCGGGTAATAAACTGCGGTGAGAGACTTAAGCTCTGCGTCGAGGAAGTGAACTTTCCCCCCAGCCCCTCGCCTCCCCCTCCGGCTGCCGGTGGGGTTCCCGCCTTGGGGTCCCCGAGGACCGAGGCCTGGGGAGGGGCGTGGCTCGCGCGTCGGAGCCCCGCCCCCGCGGCCTCAGTTCTAACGACCCGGCAGGTCGAGAGCCCAAGGGAGGGAGAGGAGGTGGGAGCCCCGGCCTCGGTCGCTGGCCTCCCTCCCAGCCCCACACGGCCTAGCCCCATGGTCCCCGCCGCCGTTGCGCTGCTCTGGGCCCTGCTGCTGAGTCTGGGGCCCCGGGCGGCGGCGGGGGCCCAAGGCCTGACTTCGACCAGCACGCAGCCGGTCAGTTTCCGCCCCAGGAGCCCGATGACCCAAAACGACTGGTCCACCGCCCGGACCAGTGTTTCCCCGAAGAGTACGGTCATCATAGAGGACGAGGATGACATGGTGGCCGCTGCCGACCGCCTGGCAGGCCCAGCTGCTGCCGAGCTCTTGGCCTCCACGGTGTCCACGGACGTCAGCGGGTCGCATTCGTGGGACCGGGAGGACGGCTCTTTGGAAGAGGGGGTTGTGATTAACGCGGACAAGAACAGCTCGCGATCAGAGGTTGTCAGTACCGTCTCCAGCACAGCGACGGAGTCCAGCTCCAGGTTCCCGGCGAACGTGCAGGAGGCGGAGTACAGGCTGACCACCAACATGGCGCCCTTCACGGGCAAGTCCACTGACGACCTGCTGCTCACCGGCAGCAGCCTGACCAAGTGGACCACGGCGGGGGCCACCCCCAGACGCTGGCCGCAGTACTCGTCCACAGCCATGCCGCCTCCCGAGAACCTGCGGCTGATGCTCATGCCCTGGGGCCCGTGGCACTGCCACTGCAGGTCAGGCACCATGAGCCGGTCCCGGGCTGGGAAGCTGCAGGGCCTTTCGGGGCGCCTCCGAGTTGGGGCGCTGAGCCAGCTCCGCACGGAGCACCGGCCTTGCACCTACCATCAGTGCCCTTGCGACCGGCATCGTGAGGAGTGCCCCCTGGACTCGGGCATCTGTTCTGGCACCGGCTGCGCCACTCAGAGCCGCGTCGCCACCGCCGGCACCGCCACCGGCACCGGCACCACCACCACCACCACGACGACTACGACCACCACGACCACCACGACCACCACGACCACCCTACCCCCGCTCAGCCAGAGACTCAGACCCACCCCGCTGCACCTCCTGGGCCCCAGCGCCGCCCTTGATTTTTGGAGGCGGGTCAGGATTGGGCTGGAGGATATTTGGAACAGCCTCTCTTCCGTGTTCGCACAGATGCAACCAGTAAGTGTTCGGTGATGAGCCAGGATCTTTGTCGATGGATCTGAAAAGTCCTGACAGCCAAAACCCTCTTGCTAAACCAGCCAGTGTGCTTGCATGAACTGTTACTTATGTGCTTGGTTATTGATTCCGTAACATGCATTGGTTTATCAGTGTTATCATTGGCCATGGACTCCACCTTTTATTAGGCAACATGTATTATCGGTCATTAGCTGACGGTTGACCCAGTTGTTAAGATCGTACATATGTAAACAATTCTCAATGCACAGATAATGCATGTGGGAGATGATTAAGTTTTCAGCTTATTCGTGCAGTTTAACAGTCACAGCAGCCAATATTTGAGTCTTGCTATGTGCACTTTACGTGGGTCAGTTCTCCAATACCCCATGAGGTATTACTGTGCCCACGTCACAGATGAAGAAATGGGGTCTTATACAACTGGTAAGTGGCAGAGTCACAGCAGGATTTAAACCGGGTTTGTTTGACGCTAGTGCTGATGCTCTCACCGCTGTCCCAAAGAACATTCTCAAGGAATGACAGTCCTCTGCTTCCCCAAAGGGCCCCCAAAGGCTCTGACTGACCTGACGAAATATTCTCAGTTGGTAGAATGACAGGACCTTTGGGGAGAGGGGATGGACAATAAAATGTAGGCTTGGTCATTTTGCTGGTTTCTGTTCCTTCTCCAAGTATAAACGGGGGGAGGGGCAGTTGTGCTAAGGGAATGAGGGTTTGTGGGGAAGCAAGGAAGGGAAGAGAAATAGCTTTGTTATAATATTTCGCCTTTTCTCTGTTTCCTCACCCAGATAGACAGAAACCGGAGGTAATGGCCACCGAGCTGCAAGAAGCGTCAGAATCTCGCCCTCCCCTCCCCCTTCAATCTCAGCACCCACTGGGTATTTTTAGTACAGAAAAACAAAACTAGAAAAAACATTGTTTGGTCTTGTGTGTTTTTACAGAGGTATCTGAGGGAGGAGAGACCAAAACTCTCTTGACTTTTTTTTAAATGCATACAGCACCTGGTCTTCCTAGGTGGTCTCCCATCCAAGTACTAACCAGGCCCCACCCTGCTTAGCTGCCGAGATCAGACGGGATCCGGCACGTTCAGGGTGGCATGGCCGTAGACGCTCTGGGCTCTTAAACTGAACTGTGTGCCAGCAGCATCTGGCCCTTCCTCTGTCCCCCAGAGAAAATGTCATTCATCCTCCTCATTTCCAAAGTTGTTCTTGAACAAGTGTTTCTTTAAAGACTTTAAAATCTCAGGTGAACACCAAGAGAAGGGACCAGGAAGAGTGGGGGGCTGAGCGCCCCCTGGAGGCTGGCGGCCTCCTGCCTTCACAACCTTCAGCCGCCTTCTCTCCCCAAAGGGCAATGTTGGTACGAAATTCCACACCAGCCACTTCCTAGGAGCTCCTTCATCAGCCATCTCTAGCCTTTAACCCAGCTTTGCCAGTAGTGATAGACTCTGAGACTATTTTGCTTAAACTTTTTTATTTGAAAAATGCATTTAAAAGTCCAACAAATTTTTTAATATAAATTATGACTCTCAGACCCATTGTCATCACTCTAAATATTGTTAAAGTGATGGCAGCATACACATCAGAGACGGAACTAAAGGCGAGAGAGCACCAAAGACAAGTCTGTGTCCAAAGAATAGGCATTAGGATAAGGCTGAAGATCAAGGTGACCAGTGATTCCAGGAGTCCCCCATCTTTCTGCCCTGTCCTGTCAACCCTTCAGATCTAGTATAACCCTCAGGCTATTGACTACTTCCGGAGCAACTAGCTAGACGGAAAGGTCAACTGTGAAAGTATCTCTATGACCAATCTCACTCGGACCCTGAAAAACTTCAGGAAATACCCTGAAACTTGAAAAAATTTAACCTCAGTCACTGTAGGTGGGGGCAAACTGGATGGATGGTGGATCCCAGTTCCCACATTCCTGACCCCCGAGCTACTAAATGACAGCTCCTCTGTCCTGTTCTGCCTTCCAAAGCTTCCCACGAGGAAGGGGCCAGAACAAAGAAGACCTGAGAAAACAAAGTGCCTAAAGACCCTGCTCCTCCATCCCTCTCCCACCGAGAGCACTCTTCAGCTGGGCGGGGGGCGGTCTTCAGACAAAACTCCCTGAGCTTTAAAATTCGGGGAGGATAAGCTGGGGTGTCTGCAGCTTCTCTCCTCGCTCCCCAATCCCACCACACCCTGTTCACACCTCCACGCAGGAAACCCTCCTCCGAGAGCGGGAACAGAAGCACAGCACATGTCCGTCACAGAGACACCGCATGCAAGGGCAAGCAACACAATGAACAGTCGTTTGGAGGTTGTATGCAGCCCTGTGAAGCCTAGTCTACAAGGGCCCTAGTTCATCAAGGCTCAGGCTTAGGGTGAATCATGGGATGGGGTACTGGGCAGGGGAGGGAATCAAAGAGAAAAATATCTTGACTCTAGAGCAGTAGCTCTCAACTGGGGGTGATTTTGTCCCCCTAGGAGATACTTGGCAAGTCTGGGGCCATTTTTGGTTGTCATATCTAGGGTGGGCCAGGGATGCTGCTAAACATCCTAATGCACAGGACAGATCCCCATGACAAAGAATTCTCCAGCCCCGAATGTCCAGTGTCTAGGCTGAGAGACCTTGCTCGGTGGGTCTCCTTGCTCCCAGGTAGTGAGGGTCTTAAGCTCCTGAAACTCACAGTTGACTGCTCTTAACCTGTTTCTCACCCGCCTCCCGCCCTCAAGGGTCAGGAAGTCCACCCTGAGACATACAAAACGCCTAGTTTTGCTGAGTTCTGGCTTTCTCTCCAGATCCCTCTTCCTTCTCTCACCTGGGCCAGCAGGGAGGTTGGCAGAGGGCAGGCCAGGTCCCTAAGACTTAAATGGAATGTCATCAGGTTAACATCCACCTCTCAACTGTCATTCAGTGGGATATAATAAGGCCCCTAACAGCAATGGAGTTAAGGACAGAGGTAGTAGCAGGATGGGGGGAATTAAGAGAACTCATCTTAAATTAAAATTTTAATTAATTAAAAAATAAAGGAAAGATGTTGGGGAGCTAGCAGTGCTACAGAAACAGCAGGGTTAGAGGCCTGACTAGAGAAAGACCTTGGTATTGGCAGAGAGATACCGAAGAGATGTGAGCTTAAGGTCAGATTTAAAGAGAGCAGACTGGGCAGTGGCCGCCCGCCCGCCCAGCGCCAATCATTCATTCCAGGAGGAAAGAGAAGGGCAGGCAGGTAGGGAGCTTCTCAGCAAAGCCAGCTTCAGCTCTGGTAACGTCGCCCACCTGCCACTTAAGGAGTTCCAGGTTAAGAGTTTAAAACAGGTGGCACTGAGACCGTCATTCAGGAGCAGGGAACCCAGTCCGGGTTCCCAGGAACTCCTACTTCAGATCTGAGCGTGTCCACGGCTTCGGCTAAGTGCCTCTGACCACCAGTAGTCACTTGTTCAGTCCTGCTGCCTTGGCCCCATCACCAGGAGGGGCTACAGCCAGAGGGAGCAGAGGGAGTCCAGCCCCCACGCCTTCTGAGGCACTGTTAGGCAGACAAGGCAAAACGGGGGCCCAGGGCACTGGTTCTAGGAGGGATCTGGTGGGGGAGCATCTCTTCTGGACTGGACCGAGTGGAGGTTTCAGATAGTAGAACCTGATTTTTTAAAAAAGGAAGATTAGCCTCAAAGAAAACCAAGGCCTTAGGGGGAAGGCAGCCCCCAGCGCAGACTATTCCCACAGCGGGCTCTTCTCTCCGCCTGTCTGCGGTCTGCACACCCCTCTCTCTGCCCTTCTGGACCCTCCATCCCTGATTCTCCCACTCAAACTCCTCCTTGCGCTTCCCATCCCTGCAGAGGATCAGGGTTCCGAGGCGGGGGCTGGAGGTGTTGGCTGGGTTTCTCAAATGACTCACCCTTCCCGGTGGAGCTACAAGCCCCGAGAATTGCTCCACGGCCTGTCCCGGTTTCCCTTGGAACGCATCTGCTCCTGCACCGCGCCTGTCTGTGAGAGAGCGCCCGTGACGCCCCAGCCTCCGCCTTCCTGCGCACAGAACACACACGCATGCACGCACGCATGCACACACACACGCGCGCACACTCATGCACACACGCGCACACACATGCACGCACACACGCACGCACACGCATGCATGCACACACACACTCGCACACACACGCACACACAGCCCCAAACACACACACACACGCACGTGAGAAAGTGCCCACGACGCCCCAGCCTCCTCCTTCCTGCGCACAGAACACACGCACGCACACACGCACGCGCACACGCACACGCACACACGCACACACCCGTGCAGGAGGACAGCCCCTGTACCCTCCATAGGGGAGGTGCACACATGCACACGCGCATGCACACACACTCATGCACACATGCACACACACGCATGCACGCGCACACACGCACGTGAGAAAGCGCCCACGACGCCCCAGCCTCCGTCTTCCTGTGCACAGTAGAACACACACGCATGCACGCACGCGCACACACACGCGCACACGCACGCACACGCATGCATGCACACACACACTCGCACACACATGCATGCACACACACACTCGCACACACACGCACACACATGCATGCACACACACACACTCGCACACACATGCATGCACACACACACTCGCACACACACGCACACACATGCATGCACACACACACACACGCACGTGAGAAAGTGCCCACGACGCCCCAGCCTCCTCCTTCCTGCGCACAGTAGAACACACGCACGCACACACGCACGCGCACACGCACACGCACACACGCACACACCCGTGCAGGAGGACAGCCCCTGTACCCTCCATAGGGGAGGCTGACCCCACCTCAGTTTGAACCCGAAAAGGTTAAAACTAACCGCCCTTCCTCTAAGGGCGGTCTCAATGCCTCCCTCCACACTGGCCTTCATAAGAGAGAGACAAAATGAGTCTTTTGCTAAAAAGATCCTCTTGCAAAGGACCTTCTCATATTTATCTAAGTTTTGCAATTGGTGAAAAGACTCCTTCACTATCTCCAGGCCCATTTCCCTTATTTTGAGCAGAAATACATATCAGACATTATTTAGGACAGGGGTGCTCGGCCTTTTTCCTGCCCCGACAATCCCAACCACGATGACTGACTGGCACAGAGGAGGCTGTTCTTGAACAGAAGGAAGGGTTATGGTTTTTGGAAAAAGTCATCTGAGTAACTCTTAAAGACATATATAGCCCCCATCCCGATGAAAAACAATCTGCTCACTGCAAAAATGAGGGGGCCAAGGCGGGGGCCCTGAAACGCCAGGGCTCAGGTTGACACGGCTGGTGACCAACACTTGCCTTGCTTTTTACTTCCCCATCAAGTATTTTGTCATGTCCCCCGCTTGAACTTTCAAAAAGGGGAACAGTTCTAGGCCACAACCCCATGTGGACCTGCCCCCATTCCCTTGTTACCATGGCAAGTCCATCTCCGGCCCCCATCTCCCCAGAGCCAATGTGAGTCAGGTGGACAAAATTCATCGGTTCCCCAATCATGGTCCGGTCGATCCGTCTCCTCTTCTTCTTCTGCTTGGAGAAAAGGGGGGCGTTACGTCTGAAACCGCCTCCTGCAGTCAGTGGCACAAGGGAAAACCACTAAAGGAAGAGCGAAGGGCCTGGTGGGAAAGGGGACATGGCCCAGTAACAGGGACATCGCCAGAGTGTGAAAGGCAAGGCTGGGCCGACGCAAACAGAGAGGACGCAGGCAGGGTGCTGAGGGCAGTGGCCTGCACAGTGAACACTGGACAAAGAAAGGACATGTCAAAGTCACCTCTGGCTGATGAGGAAACAATGGGGAAAACTGACAGGTATTAAGCTCCACCTGCAGCCCAGGCCCAACTCAGCATGGACAGGGACAGGAAGCGACAGCCAGCGGGATCCTCACTTCCTCCCCCAGCACACACCTGCTTGGCCTGGGAACTATCCCGACAGACCAGCACCCAGACGAGCACGGTAGCTGAGGGGCGGGGCGGGGAGACTCACCGGCTGGGGTTTCTCTACCACACAGCAGCCCAGCTTGTGCCAGAATTCACTCATGTTCCCCGCAGGTTCCAGTTTCACGCCTCCACCTGAGGCCCCAGAGGGCTCCCGCTCTGCTGCCTTGACAGCCCACTCCTCCCCTCAGGTGTAACAACACCTGGGTTCACAGCTGGACAGCTCTAGAGAAAGAGTCCTGGGAACCCTGAGCTGGCCAGTGAAGGTCAGTGTCTCAGACCCTGAGCAGCGTGGACGACCTGGGCCAGAGGGTGGGGCGGGCGGGCGGGCACGAGGCTATGCGCTCCTCAGATGGGGAACCCTGGATGAACGGAAAGGTTAATGAGAACCCCCTCCTTGAGAAGCCTCCCGACAAGCCCGTCTTCTCGTCCTCCCTTTTAAAGGCCCTAGTCCCGTACCCGACACTGTCCCCAAACGTAAGAACCACAGTCTGACTCTGAGAAAAAGGAACCAGGACACCAGGGGGCTAAGGAGTGGTAGCCGCTGCCACCAGGGAGACGAAGGGGGCTGGAGGCATCTAGGGTGAGAGGAGGGGAGGGGACCAGAGGACAGTGGCAAAGTCTGGGGCTGCTCCGAGCTCTGCCTCCCTCTCCCTTCTCCTCTCCCACAGGGCAGGAGGGGAGGGGCACTTCAGTGACTTTGAAGAGGAAATGGTGGTTTTTTGTTTTCTCAAACAAGGCCTCCACCCCGTCCCTCCCTCCTTCCTTACCTTGCCCTGAACACCTAGGTTTTCTTTAAGAAAAGAGAACCTAGGTGTTCAGGGCAAGGGAAGGAAGGAGCAGCTTGGACCTCAAAAAAGATTCTACAGTGAGGAATTTCTTCCCTCTCTGTTCCCTGACCTTGTTCCTCCTCATTTCCCTGCACTAAGATCCAGCCCCTCCCAAAAAACGGTTAACCGTTCCCTTATTACTTGACCTTGGGAGCCTTCCCGAAGGCTGACCACACTGTGTCCTGTGTCGCCGCACCCCTGCTGTGCACCTGTTTGCACATACGTGGCGTGGCCACAGCTCCGTGTGTCTCTTACGGACCATCTGTGCACTGTTGTAGGTACACGTGCCAGGTATCTTCTGTCCCATGAGAATTTTTTTCCAGCCTCCCCACCCTCTTCACATGTCCTATCGTGCCACTCTGCTCTGCCTCACATCCCACAGGACCCGGGCCTCCCTCCCTCCCTCCCTCCCTCCCCCCCTCATGCTGTGACCTGCTCTCTCCTCCCTCCTCACCACTTCCCCCCAAGTGTCATCAGCCAACCAGACACAGGAACTTTCCAACAGCATCAGTGTCCAAGGAAGAACTTTCATTACTGCCGGCCAGGGCAGGGCACACCTGGGTTGCCCTTATGCACACTGCACTTCTCCAGTCCTATAATACGAGCCATCTCAAAGGTTCCAGACAGGGCGGTTTGCCGAATATCACACTGAACATGCACATGAACCTCTCCCTCCCTCCAGGCCCTCCCTCCAGGCCCGAAACCCTGAGGCCCTGGGGCCCTAGACTCATCTAAGAACTGAGGGCTTTTTTCTTAACGGCCTTGAGATGAGATCACACAAACACTGAGACACAGCTTCGAGGGGAGGGAAGGACCCAGGAGTCTGGACTTTTCCCCTATTTCCCTTCCCACCACTGGAGGGGAGGGGTAGCGAGACAGGGCGGAAGTCAGGAGCAGAGAGCTGTGGTCAATGGGGAAGTCGGTCACAGGGTTTGTTGTGATGGTGGCCGGTGGTGGCTGGAGGCAGGGGTGGGGGGTGATGAAGAAAACAATGAAGAATCAGAGGAAACCCCCAACACCACCAGACAGGCTGTACTGAGACTGGACTCTCCCCAGTACCCCCCTGCTCAAAGCCGAGTGGACAGAAGTGGGTGGTGGGAGGGGTGAGGGGTGAGGAGGGAAGAGGGGGAGGAGGAGAGAGAGAAAGGGGCAGAGAGGGAACAAGGACGGTTCTGTTCCTTTTCCAGGGACCTGGCCAGAGCTGTGTGGAGGGAAAGTGTGTGTGTGGGATTTGGCACGAAATGACCAATGATGATGAGAAGTGACCAGGAAATTCCATTCCCTAGGCCATAAGGGTCTCTGAAACTTGGGGGTGGGGTCACAGTGTAGAGAAAACTGGGCAGGGAGAATGGGGAGGAGGGACAGGCTGAGGCCAAAAAAGGAAGTAAGATCGATTTGGTTGTCACTCTGGTTCTTTAGAGTGGGTTGAGGAAAAATAAAGTCCTGAGCAACCCGGAAGAGGTACCGAATCCACGGCCCACTATTTCGACCCCACCTGAAGGGGAAGGGGCTGGGAAAACAGCAGTGGGCCTCAGGATTAGATCACCTAAGGCCAGATCCTCACCGCCAAGCCAAGGAGGGCTGAGAACTGGGCCTGAGGCCCAAAGAGGAACGGTGAACTGCAGCTGGGAAAGACACCAAGGTCAAACTGGAACTTAAGAGCTAAGAAACTACTAGGGAGTGAGCAGGAGAAGCGATGGGAGAGAGGTTCCAGGGAGGAAGGACAGACAGAGGTAGTTTCCACGGCGGGTTCCAGCCCCAAACCGGTTTGCCCGGTCCCGCTGCCTCCAGCCCCAAAGCCTCCAGCCCCAAAGCCTTTGTAGTGTTCTGAGACAAGCCTTCACAAGAAGCAGCTGGGTTGAAAGAGAAAGAGAAAGAGCGTTAAGAGAATGGAGTGGGCAATTCTGGCTAGAAGCCCAGGGCTGCAGCTGGTCCCTGCGGAGCCCTCCAGACACGGAGGCCTGCTGAGGGGTTCTAGAGAAGTAGGGATGCACCCCACCTTTCAGACAAGTGACCGGCATGTGCCCCAGCATCTACCGTGCCCTTCCCTCAAGGACGGTCCTGTGGGGACGTAAGAGGAAACAGAAGTAGGCCCTAAACTCCCCCTCCCCAATATTTTCAGCCCTTTCAGTCAGGGATTCCATTTCTGCCCAGCCCCTAAATCTACCCCGAAATTCTCCGCTCCTCCCACCGCTGAACTAGGGCTGGGACCGCTCTGTGAATCCTGGGGACTCTCGCCGTCTTCCGTGGCTGCCTCAGCCTCAGATCTGGTCTCAGACCGGGACCCGGCTCGTCTTCACTGTGTCTGGCACACGCCACCACCGAGGGCCGTGACTCTCGGAGACCCTGCCCCGTCCCTTCTCTCCGTGCTACTCTTGAGCGGCCTCCGCCTGCCGGCCGCACGGGCGTGGCTGGGGACGGAGACTCAGGGAGCGCACCCCAGTTCCCACCGACCCAGCAAGTCCGCAGTCCAGGACACCCTGCCCCCACGCCAGCATCCGGTGCGGCGCCGCCCGGCGGGGCAGGCGGGGCGCGCGGCGGGCGGCGGGGCC